TTTAGACAACTTTGCGGTTACACCCGGTACACACACAAACACTTTCTATCTGTCTCCTTTCCTCTGCATTCCTTCTTCCTCTCTTTCTATTTCTCTCTCTCTCTCTCTCTCTCTCAGCTTTTTCTGTTCGCTCTCTTTTTTTCTTATCGGTATCGATCCACTTCTTTCTTCTATCTTTATCTATCTCACACTTTCTACTTTTTTATTTCTCCCCTCTTTTCATCTATCTATCTAATTTCCTCTCTCTATCTCCCTCTTTCTGTTTGTTTTCTATCTCTAATTTTTCTTCACTTTTGCTCTCTATGTTCCTATCGCTATCTACAGATCCTCTTCCTTCTCCTATTTTTATCTCTCTGTTGTGGATTCCGAGATGAAATTTGGTCTCCAATGAATGACAAACGCAAGAAATAAATATAAGAAATAAAATGTATTTACACCATAATACAAAGGGTAATACTGTTAGTAAATCCATGAACGCGGTCAGTCGTAATAATATATATATATATATATATATATATATAGTCTCGAATTAGGACTTCCTTAGAGTCTACGTGCTTGTAACTGACTTTTGCAAGCGGTTACCTCACACTATTACTCTACCTCCAACTCAATCACAATCTCAGTCTTCTTACTCTCTCTCTACTCATTCTCAATCATCTGACTGACTGTCTAGCTCTGGGTATTTAACGGCAGCAGTCCAAGTAACACTTTGGTCGAGTCCACTTATATGAAAAAGAGGTGGACCCCATAACACCCCCTCCTTAGATCCCTTTTTGGGAGGAGTTAGTATTTTTTAATTTCGTTTAGGAAAAATATCACACTTTTCTCCTTTTACTTTGAACCTAAAGTCCTGAAGTCTTCTGAAAACTTCCATTATGTGTGGTGTGTGCTCTTCAACATTGTCGCTCTTAATTAGAATATCATCCAGATAAGCGGTCGCGAAATTCTGGCCCGTGAGCATTGTGTCCATCGTTTGCTGAAAAATTGCTGGTGCAACTTTTACTCCAAATGGTAGTCTGTTGAATTTGTACAACCCTTTGTGCGTATTAATGCAAAGGATTTTCGTACTCTCTTCTTGTATTGGAATTTGTAGATAAGCCTCCCTAAGATCTATTTTTGAAACTATCTTACCGCCGTTGAGCTTTGTAAATATTTCTTCTGGGCTCGGTAGTGGATAATGGTGGTCTTTTATCGCCTTGTTGAGTCCCGTCGAAAAATCTGCGCATACGCGAATTTCTGCTGACTTCTTTTTTACATAAACCACCGGCGCTGCCCACTCGCTAAACTCTGTTTTTGATAGAATCCCAGTTTGTAAAAGTCTTTCCAATTCTTTGTCTATTTTTTCTATAGTAGCGAACGGTACATTTCGCTTCTTTTTAAAAATTGGTTGGACATTTCCTTTTAATTCAATTTTGGCCTTAAATTTGTTGCATCGTCCCAACCCGCTCGAAAATACCTCAGAAAATTGGTTATATAATTCTTCCTTCAATTTTATAGTATCTGATGATTCAACCTCTAACTTTTTGAAAAAAGAGTTGATAGGTAGATCTCAAACGTTAAACTTCTGCATCTAGTCGATACCTACTTGATTTTCAGTATCTTTCATGACGTATATCTTAAGTTTTTTTTTGTTTTGCCGTGAAATTTAACATTCACGATTATTTCTCCCTCAAATTTTATTCGTTTGCCTGTAACCGATTTGGCAATTTTTTGTGTGTGTAACATGGCAGGTGTGTTGAGTTTTTTCCATGTGTGTAAGTTGATTATCGTGAGGTCGGAACCCGAATCCAAACGTCAAAGAAATAATAATGAACAATACATATATATATACAGGGTGTCCATAAAGTTCGTGAGTACTTTAAAAATTTACAACTTTATTTGTATTTGCGATAGAAATAATCTGTAAAAAATGTTATAAATTTTAATGTACCTACTTTTAAGTATAGCTAAAAGTACTAATGTGATTTCAGGCATTACTGTACATCAGTTGGCAAATGTTTTCCGTGAACTGCAAAATCGTATTACCCTCTGTATTGCTAATGATGGAGGACATGTGGAAACTTAAATAAAATTTCAATAAAACCTAAAAATTATAGATTTACTTCATTCTAATCCTTTTTACAGATTATTTCTATCGCAAATGCAAATAGTTATAATTTTTTAAAGTGCATACGAACTTTATGGACACCCTGTATTTAAACATATAACATACAATTAATGTTTATTATGTTTGAGCCTTTCTAAGCTTCGTATAGTTGTTTTAATTTCCTGTGAAAAAATGAGAAAATTGATCAAACATAATAGACATTCATTGTCCGTTATATTTAACAATATATGTTTAAATAATGATCTGCTGCCCCAATACACTATATATCTATCTATACATCACTTCAAATAAATATAATAATTATAATGTATACAATAATTAAAATAAATAATAATTGTAAATTAAATTATTATATTACTTAAAAAAAGAATCAATATTTACATTGTTGAATTAAACTTAAAATCCGTTAATTTTTTGTGCTTCTGCACAATCCGTCATCTTCCCTTTGTGGCACCATTTACCAAGGCAGAAAAAGAAAAGAAAGAAAAGAAAGGAAAGGAGAGGCGAAGACCCAAAGCGTGGATGATAAACAGAACACCGCGGCTAAGAGACAATGGATAAGGGATATTTTGATAAGTAACAAATGGCGAAAGAGTGTCATTACAATGGAAGGGAAATTCTGAATGGATAAAGGAATCGGGTGTGTTCTGGCGTCGGGCTGTGTTATCTGGGATGCATAAACAAACCGCTGGTGGGGGAAAGCATCTGATTAAGCAAACCCCAGACGACTAGCCAAAGAAAAGTCCAATTGAAAACGTTAATTTTGATAATTGACAAAACACAGGTGAAACTACAGGGCTTTGGATAGATATGAAAAATTAATTGTGTCAAAAGCCGCACACGATGTGTCCACTGACCGATTTCTTTCAACGGAACGTCTTTAGCCTGCGATAATAAAACTGTGTTATCAGAAATGTGTACCGAAAAAAATGAATGGGAACTTAGAAATGTTTCTTTTCGAGGCGACGGTGTGGCAGTGCTAAAAAGACCACCCATTCTGATAATTAGCGATAAGATGACTGACGAAGTCCAGGTGAGGACAAGAGTTATGACCACCATCGTTCGTAAGGTTCTGTTTGCGGCTAGAGAAAATGATAACTGCGATTAAAAGAAAGAAAAGGAAAAGAAAAGATAATTTTTTTTTGTTAAGCAAGATATTTTTTTTTCCTGAAACAAAGCCGCGGAATCGTACACGCCCGACTAAAACATCATTGGTCGAGTGGTGATCACGTGACGCATGTAGGAGGCTGTCGCCGCCCATCTAGAGGATGGATATGAGAGGTTGCTACGAAGAAGTGGGGAGGGCAGTTCACGCCCCTCTGAAGTATGATGAGAAGGTGGGAGTAAGAGAAGACTCCCAAAAATGGAAAAAAATGGAAAATTCCTAACCAGAAATAAAAGAGGTGGATATGTATTTAGAATTATCGAGGAACCCCCGGCGCCGACAAACCCACCCCGGTTTTGGTCGGCGTCCATATAAGCGAAATCGTAGCGAGCAGAAATCAGTTAAGTTTTTCAGATGAGTTGCAGTTTCAGTTCAAGTTAAGTTGGTTCCGCCTCGTAGATAGCTGACTTGAAAGATTCACGCAAATTCCGGACTCCTCTTCAATCCAAGAACAATTAATTTGAAGAGTGACTTAGATCCGACCACCAAAATAAGTTTTTTTTTTTCGACTTTCGTCCGAAGACACACCGAAAAACCAATTTCTTAAAGAGCAAACAACTTGAAGCGTTAAAACTCGCCTAACGGAAAACAACGTGTCACAATCCATAGAACGGGTCGGGAAATAGACGCAGTCCTATGTATCCAACAACTAGACATAAAGTTTGTTATCCTTTTTTGTTGATACCTTGAATTTTTGAGTAATCATTTTATTTTCTTTTATGCATATTTGTGTGGTGTCACCCCCGTTGAACCCGATTTGCATTACGGCCCCAACTACTGATTGGTCTCGTCTGCCTAAGATCAATTCACAACGTGGGTAGGCAGACTGGAGATCAATGCAGTTACTTTGGTAACCAGGCGTTGGAAGCGAGTTGGGAACGACGAGGCTGATATCGAATCTAACCAGATTCCCATCCGAATCACCAAAAGGTTAGAACGTCACATTTGGGTGCCGCGACCGATACCAACCCAGTTGGTCGTCACAGGACGAGACAACACGACTGACGTGACAGGCGGACGTCACGTTTGGAGCGGCGACACCCGAACGGAGCAGCGAGGAGCGAGCGAAGGCTGTGTTTAGGGACGTCGCAGCTGACGCCGCGACCAAGGACGTCACAGCTAGCGCTGCGACAAGGACGTCACACCTTGAGTTCATAACGATTAATGAAAAATAAGTCCAGCTCTAAGCCGGACTATAGACGAAGGCGGAAAACGAGCGCCTTATAGCCAGCTGCTTCGGATAGATGGAGCTCGACAGTCCGCGAAGACTGTCCATCTTGTGTAAGTCTAACCTTGGTTTTAAACCTACGCTGCCTTGTGGTAATATCCAGAAACACAGAAAAAAGGCCTATGAAAAACCGCAGTGTAGAAAGTAGATGGCTGTCGGCAATGTTCCGGCAACTCAAGCTGTCCTCAAATGAAATGGCCTGTATTCCTTTGTGTTTTTTCGGTTGGGTCGGGAGTGTTGCCATGTAGTATGAGCAGCGCACAATTTCCCTATACCATTGCCAGTCGAGAAGGAAAACTCAGAATTCATATTACCTGCTGCTCTTTAACTTCTGAGAGGACGAACTGGGTAACCTCAACATCCGCGATGCAAAAGGAACCTGTAAGCTACTGGGCTTATTTTGTTTGACACATCGCTATAAAGCAAAATGGCGCGATAGAGAAAAGTGGGGATCAGAAAAGCGCAAAAAAAAAGAAAAAATCTGAATAAATGAATGAATGATGTTTACTTTTCGCTTTCAAACTTCTTTTATTTTTTTCTTTCTATATTTCTCTTTCTCTATCTTGTGTTACATCTATATCTCTTTCCTCTCTCTCATCTTTCTCCTCTCACTTCTTCTCTTACAGTCTCTCTCTCTCTCTCTCTCTCTCTCTCTTTTGATTGTATCTCTCTCTGGCTCTAAATTTATTTTCCTTACTTCTCTCTATCATCCTCAGTTTTATCTTTCTCTTCCTCACATTTCTTTTTTCTTGTCTATCTATTTCTCTCCATCCCATGTTTCATCCAACACTTTTCTCTATACCTCTTCTTTCCTCTTTCTCTCTCTCTCTCTCTCTCTTTCCCATTTTCTTTCTATCTTTGTCTGTTTTTCTCTCTCTTTCTCTAATTTTCTTTTCTTCTCTCTAGAGTCGACTCCCAAGAGTATGCTTTCCTAATAACTACCTTTTCAAGTCTAGGATTAACTGTAATCGTACCCGCATATCCGCATAAACTGTCTTTTATTCTGTAGCACTCTACCTCGAGTGGCTCTCAGGAATTGTACCGGGTGATCATCTTTGAAAAAAAAATTAAATAAATGACCCTATCTATAAATTTGCATAAGGCACGTAGTGAGAATCTTATTCCTTAAATTGATAATGCTCTCCTAGACTGGTTCGTTACGGCACACCAGCGTCCAGACGCCACTTCTTCCCTTTTATCTCAGTTTATCAGACTTCAAAGATGTTTTCAAACACACCGAAATTTTTGATTTTTAAAAATTGCTCGGAAAATTTTATCATATCATTTTATTCATATTTCTTCTTTCACTGTTTTCTTTTTCGTTTTTCCTTCACCAAATCCTTTTAGTGTTTTTTTTTTTTTTTATTTCATTCTTATCTTCGATTTCACTTCGATTCTTCTTCACCGTCGTTCCTATCAACTTTACTCTTTCACTGTGTACGCATGCGCATTAATTACATACTCTGCTTATATGGCCCTGCTAGCGTTTCTTTCTTTCCAATTGCCCGCTTTATCTTGATTATCAACCCAACTAATACAAATTCTACCAACTGATAACCTATATTATTTATTCTACTAGTCTCTTTATCAGCATGACTCCAGTGTCTGGAATAATTTTATTCTTTTTCTTTCTATTTTTTCTACCGCTCTTCCGTATATCCTCATTAAATCTTCCTTCATTTCTACACTCTTTTCCTTCCTCCATCTCGTCGTTCATTTTCCGTCGTGTCATCGCTCTTTCGTTTCCTCTTTCTTTTTGTTCTTTTATTACTTATTGATTTGTTTAATCAAATTCCAATTTCGGATTAATTTCACTTCCGATTCTAAAATCCCAGAACGGAAATTGACGCGATTCGAGATAAGAGACAGCCGAATCGTGAAGTCAAAACGCGTAAACAGAAATCAGGATTCGTAATCCAGTTGGTTCCTAGAGAGCAATCACGATATGGAAGACAAGAAAGGACACAATACACTCGTTCTCTTTTTATATCTCCTTATTACACTACTTTTTAAATATATACAGAAACATGATATAAGTAATGTTCTATGTGCCGTGTTCCTTCATGGAATGAGCGATCATGGCTCTCCATATCTTCCATAGCGCGTAGTAATGCTTGTCTTTTCACCATCCCTTTCAATCCATATTCTGTCATTCATTTTTACAAGGTCATTACGTGTTTCAAATAATACAGCCACATCTGGTCTGCTATATCTTTCTTTTTTAATCATTTAAAACCAAGCATAGTGAGGCTTACGACCACATCATGTTAAAAAAACCGGTAAGCAACGTTGAGCCTGGTCAATATCTAGATGGGTCCCTGCTTGTGAAAACCAGGTTCTTTAAGTCGGGTGTGCGGGTGGTATATTGGATAATAGTTTGGGATTTTTAATCGGAGAGCCGAGTCACAAATTAGCTGGTGTAACAAAGCTAACTAGCTGGTTTAATAGACACGGCCTTAACTATAGTATGAAATGTTCTATCTAGCAAGTGACAGTCCTGGGAAGAAAGGGATCGATTTCCATTTTGTTAACTGCCAAAAATACTATTTTTTTTTGTTTTTCAAACTCTTGTTTTAAGCCATCAGACCATTCAGTTGAGTTAACAATTTACCAATAAAAAGTTTATCGATACTGAAATGACTGCAGTAAATTAAGCAAATTGTTTTAATTTTCTTCAAGCAAAGATTTGATAAAATTAACTTCCTTTCGGAAGAAATATCAGTGGCTCAATTTCCAATAGAAATATTAAAAAATGAATTCCATGGGTTGTTGCAAAGAAAATCACAAAATGAGTCCCAGTGTGTTGTTAGCAAAAAGATGTTATGTTAGTTGAATAATAATGTTGTTGCCTGAGATAAGATCAGAAAGAAATATCTCCAGACATTATCAGATGATCAGAGTTGCCAAGAGGACAGAGATGCGGAGCAAAATATGAGTCCTAAAATGACGTAAGGAGCACAGATCAATTAAAGAATCGTGCCCGTCAGAATTACTAATGAA